ATTTTTTTAAAAAATGCCAATATCTCGAAACTTCGTTTATGAAACCATCTTTGGGGTATTAATAAAAAAAATTCCTTACTAAATTTTACATATAACTATTATTTTGCCAAAATCTTAGGCCTCACTCTAACTCTAAAGTTAAAAAAGATTACTTTTTTTTAATAAAAAAATTTTTTTTTGTTTATACCCGTGTATAAACATGTGTGTAAATTTAGAAATTTTCTAAATAATTACTTATTCAAAATTGATAAAAATTAGTTTATTTAAAATATATAGATCAGTATGATTAAAATAATTAAAAAAATATAAATTTTGAATAAGTAGTTATTAAGATATCTTTGTTCAAAGTTTGAAAAAAACTTTACTATAATTTTTATTTTAATAGTTGTCTAAAATTTTTCAAACTTTGAATGAAGATATCTTAATAACTACTTAGCAAAATTGATAGTTGTTTTTTATTTTAATTTTACTAATCCATATATTTTAAATAAAAAAATTTTTATTGATTTTGAATAGTTGATTATCAAGATACCTTCATCCAAGGTTTGAATAAACTTCTGTTTTGATGGATATCTAAATTTTTCCAAACTTTGAATGAAGATATCTTGATAACAACCTATTCAAAATCAATGATTTTTTTTTATTTAAAATGTATAGATTGGTAGAATTAAAATAAAGAAAAAATTTATCGATTTTTATAATTGGTTATCGAGATATCTTCGTTCAAAGTTTAAAAAAATTCAATGACAATCGTTTTTTGTACGTTTTGTCACGTGATTATCAGTACGTGCAAAAATCAAATGATCAGTACATGTCCGTAGTAGAGTTGCAGATGAAACTAAATTAAGCTGATGAAACTAGTGACTATCTAATATCTGATTGGCTGTTCTGTTAGAATAGCTAATCAGATATTAGATAGTCACTAGTTTCACCAGCTTAATTTAGTTTCACCAGCAACTCTAGTCCATAGACCTGGCGCAAAAAAATGTCGAGATCACGCGATCAGCGATCATTTCTGACCGTAATCGGAAAGAGCTCAAAAGATAATCTTATTAACATACGTTAAAGACATGCTTCGAAAAAACATATTAGGATTTAGAGGTTTGTGTATAGTAGAGTTGCAGGTGAAACTAAATTAAGCTGGTGAAACTGATGACTATCTTATATCTGATTGGCTGTTCTGCTAGAATAGCCAATCAAATATTAGATAGTCACCAGTTTCACCAGCTTAATTTAGTTTCACCTGCAACTCTAATAATTACACATGCTTCAAAATTTAATCTGAAGATTTGAATACTTCATAAAAATTCTGAAAGAAATGGTCAGTCAAATTATCGATGAAAGACGAGACAATATGAATTTCATATATTAAAGATAAATGATGAATATAATGTCTGGACATTAATAAGTGTCGCGGATTATGGTGAGATTTGAACATATTTTATTATGAAATTTTAAAATTTTCTGGGTGTATTTTCTTAGCTTTGTTTTTAGGGTTAGGTTAGGGTTTAGAGCAGGGATGGTAAATGACCTGAAATGACCCAAATGACTCAAATGACTAGTGACCAGACATTAACTAATAATCCAATCCTTTTTAACCAATCAGAATTAATTATTAGACAAAAGGCAATTTTTATAAATACGATTGATAATAGTATGTACATATAAAAGTCAAAATTTTATTAAATTAGTTGATATTTGCATATTAAGTAAAGTTGTTCAAGAGAACAAATTACATCTATATTGAAATTTTCATGTAATTTTAATAACTTTTTATTAAGTTGTTTTTGCGTTTTACATTTATATAAAAAAATTTAAAATTTTTTCATATAAACATAAAATATAAAAATGTCTTAATAAAAAGTTATCAAAATTACATGAAAATTTCAATATAGATGTAATTTCTTCTCCTGAACAACTTTACTTAATATGTAAATATGATTAACTTAGTAAAATTTTGACTTTTATATGTACCTACGACTATCGATTAGTAAAATCATAGCATTCAATATCTTTTTATATTAGCTATCTAACCAATAAAATTACTTCAAATGCAAATGACCCAAATGACCTAATGACCCCAAATGACCAGGTCATTTACCATCCCTGGTTTAGGATTAGAGCTATTTAAAAAAGAGTACAAGTAGATTTTAGTAGGGTTTATATTTTCAAAAGGAGACCCCAAATCTCATCATGATCTCATCATAATTATAATAAGATTGAATATTGTCAGCGAGAATCTTTTTCATTATACAGTACTTATTATAATGACCTTTTAGACAATGATGCCGGCTATTTCTGGATGTTTTTCTGAATTTTATAAACCAAAGTGAAAAATTCCAAGTGAATTGGAAAGCTTTGGCACTAAATAGTATATCGTTTTTGAAATATAAAATCAAGATAATCAGTTATCTGTTTTTTTTTTCTAGGAAATTAACTTTTTTTCAATCTGCTAGAAGGAAGAAACGCCGGCACATGAACATATTTTCACAAAAATAATTAATAATTATATATACAAAAATACAAGAATTATAAATATTAATTACTAGGATGAAGCCAAAATAATGTTCGAAATTCATTAAATAGAATGATCTTTCAAATAAAGTACTTCGGCCTCCATCACCTGTATGCATATTACGATTTTTAATGTGATTAAATCCCATGTTCTAATTTTCAAAGTCTATTTCAATCCTATTTTCTCCAAATATTATGCTCCATTTTAGACATATATATATTTTAAGATGCAATTATCCAAGGAGTTTTATAATATTTAGCCTATTCTAATAATTTCAAAAAAATTAATTATTAATTAATTAAAAATAATAATAATAATAATTTTATTTACCTTTTGCACTTTGGCTCATTCGATAATTAATTTATCTAAAATTGATTCACCTATTTCTCGTGAGGTGCATTATGTGGTTCGGAAAGTGATTTCAAATCTCTCGCTGTACGAATATCTATATTTTCTATTTATGAAGACTTATATGAATTTTGTATAAGAAAAATAATAATTATATACTAATATTAATATGGTGAGAAGGCTGATATAAGAACCTGGATAAGATATTGTACTAAAGGACGTCTGTTATGATTTATATCAAAAAGAAATGAGGTTCGGAAATTGCATGATTTTGCTTTGTCTTCAAGAGAAGTTGTAACACATGATCACGCTGATCATGTTAGAGGACTATAGCAAGCGAGATTGCCGACGTTCTTTTACAAGAAATAGGTTGAATGTGTTTCAAAGAGTTCTGGCGTTCAGAAAATACATTAGTGGAGGTTATCTCTAGTTTGATAGATATGTTTATATATCACTTACCATAGATTTTGAGGTTGAAGTTATCAAATCAGAACGTAAAAATATAGCCAATAAAACAATAAAAACTAGAAGTTCAAAAACCAGACCGAGAGGCTATAAACCCGATGTTATGATTCGTGCTTATCTTTGTCAGCGGAAAATGTGATGCCGGCGAATATAAGTCTCAGAACGATCAAAATAAATTAACACAGCTCTGTTTAGCTGGATCTTAAGAACTAGTAAAGAGCTGTTCAAAAGAAATTTTTTATAAAAATTATATAAGGCTCGCTGTTAATATGGCAGGTAAGTATCTTGAGATTCACGGATTGATAAAGGAAAATACCATCTCCCTAGTTATTAAAGCAAAAATACCTCTGGGCAATGAAACGGTTGAATAATAAAGCTTTGGAATGATCACAAAACAATACTACACACGAATTAGGAGATTATATTCTCCACGAAGCATCATATTATATATCTGAATACGAAATCTAAATCAGTAGAAGATATAGACTTTTCAAATTCGACACCTATGCAGTGGAAGAAGTTTGGGTTGTGGACAAATTTTTCAAAGATTCCGAATTTTAACAAATGATTTCACCATCACTGTTGTCTTCTTTGGTCAAATGTTAAGCATGCACACCAAGAAACACAAAGAAAAATACGAAAAGAATATAATATCCCAAAGACATTTTGTCAAATTTTAATAATACGGTATTTGTTACAACTAATCATAAACCAATTGATGATAATAAAGTTAAATCTGGATTTAATATAGTAAAGATTATTTAAAAGATCTTTAAACCAAATACTAAATTGATTATGATCCGAATGCATTAAATTCATACGTCAGAATATCATCCTGATCATAATATCAACCCAAATATTTGAGCATTTTCCACATTTTCACAGAATTCTTGATTTTTATTGTCGATTTTGCCTGGAAATTTTGGAAAAATATTTAATCAGTTAGAGTACCGCAAAGAATAAATTATAGAACCTAATGATGAAATTACGTTCAATTAATGAAACCACCTATGAGTATTAAATTTAAATTAAAAATATACTAAATTATAGCGATAGGGTAGAAACAAAATTGCTAAAAATAGTGTGACTAGAGCTAATCTGGCTAAAAAAAATTACCAAATTTTTGCAATCAATTTTCCCGTGTCCCGCATAGGGATGGCAACGGTTACGATCGGCTACGATTTTCATAGTCGGTTTTCTAAAAATTGAGATGATTTTTTATTTTTGAGTTTTTAATTAAAGTTGTTCAGAATTATATACTGTACATCCCATATTATAAGATACCTTCTCTGGAACTCAGAATTTCAAAATTTGTTAAATCATAACCGGTTATAAATTAACAAATTTTGAAATTCTGAGTTCCAGAGAAGGTATCTTATAATATGGGATGTACAGTATATTAAAAACTCAAAAATAAAAAATCATCTCAATTTTTAGAAAACCGACTATGAAAATCGTAGCCGATCGTAAACGTTGCCATCCCTAGTCCCGCAAACGTTATCACGTGAACAAAATATAAACTATCACGCGTATCAATTAAGTATCATTACATAATCATTATATTCGTTATATGTGCAATTTGGTTGTTTCGATCAAAGAAATGCAGGAGTTTGAAATTATCCAATCTTAGCTTTAATTCTTTTTTTAAAAACTATAAAAAATGATTTAACCCATTTTTTTACCATTCCTAATTTAAAACACGCTTCCCATAATACTGAACACTGTAATAATTATTTTACATTTATTATTAAGATGTAATTTATGCAACTATATTTTTTATAAAATTTATACATCACCCAGATACCCAATTTCAAATAATGCAACTAGAATTTACACCATTCGGACTCTACATAGAATATTACAAAAGTCAAGGCTTGTATAGAAGAAGGTTACGATTCCCTTTGTCAGTTTCAACAAACTTATCAATTTCTAATTTGTTAATCTGTAGTTGAACATCTTTTTCCTTTTATAAAAAAAAAATATTAATTAAATTTTCTTCCACTCTTTACTATTTAATATATATACTGATTTCTTTACCTTTGCCCATTCAAACTTAGGAATTTGTAATATCCGCTTAATTAAAAGCGTTTTGAAAATCTTTTTTTCTGGCTTAATAATTCTCATAATTGCCGAATCTAGTTGAATTGCTCTATCTTCAGCTAATCGTTGTGTTATCTTGACATCCAATGCATCTTGTACCTGAATAATTAAAAATATACAGAAATTAAAATTGATAAGATATCTATTTTTATGATTATACAAAAATAAAATTATACTAATTTCATACCCGTTTAGTCACTTCAAGATCTTCTAACATAATTATGCCATCGTCAACACAAATTATGGTATCCAATGATTCATTAACGCAAAATTTATTAGTGCTTTCGATATCATCATGTGGTGGATCTTTTGATAATAATGGAACTTTCCCGAATATAAGTGATTGTAAAGCACGATTCAGTTCATTGGTTCCTAAACCATATATTTTACTTGTTAGGCAATAAGAACAAATCCTTCGATCTAATTAATAAATATCCTTAATAGCATAGCAAACCTAATTCAGTTTGAACCTTGATTTCTTTGTACGAAAGGTAACTTCCATTTTTCACATTATTAAATAACAGCAATACTAAGGTTGAACATAAGCTCAAATCTATTAGAATGTTCTTCTACACAAAAAGAAATATTATTATTATACCTCTTAATAAATTTATACGAATGAAAGGAATAAATAATTACATACTGGCTCAAAAGTCATTTCAACAATACATCTATCTAATCCATATTGCCATTTTAATTTTTTATTCTTATTTTCGGGATCAGTCTTATATACACGCTCAAAAGCCGTCTTTACTTGTTCTAGCTGAAATAAATATGATTAAAAATGAAATATCATATATATATATTAATATAAATAGTTAACTGTTATTTTAGTTAAATTCGACCTACATTAGGAGGCAATTTTGCATTTAATGTTAAGCTCGTTACGTATTTTGGCCAATTTTCTTGTGTCAAAATGGTAACATATAGAAATGGCACATTCTAAATACTTAAAATATAAATTAGTACAATATTTTTAAAGCCATTAATTATAACATTTTAAAACTCACGCTAGTATAATTGCTATAAGTATTATTAATTTTCTTTGATATTTTTATATTGCTCAACATTACATCCAAATTACTAGAGAATTCAGGTTCCATTGCATTTAATAATCTAGTCGCCAGACTCCTTTCCAATTCAAAGTCGTATGTTTTTTCATAGCAAAGTCTAGCAACAAGATCTGTCATATATAAAGTTCTAAAAATCTCTTTATCTACAGTATAAAATAATTTTTTTTTCAATAATCTATCTTTTTTATCACGTTCAATAAAATTTTTAAATTTAAATTCTTACTATCCATGTATGATATAAATCGGAGGACGATGTCTAAAAGCTCTTCTAAACCCCTCATGTTGTCATTTGTGGCAGATTTCATAAATTCATGTATCAGTCTTGCTACAATATAATGATACAAAAAAAAAAAAATCAGTTAAAAATAATTAAATTTGTCTCACTACCTAAAACTTACCAACAGTTTCATTTATTTTTTTATTTTTACTTATATATTTTGTAACTCGTTGATACCACACCTCTTTGATCACGATATGTAAATCGTCATCATCTTCATCTTCTTCAAATATCGCGTCAATTTCATTTTTAACTTTATTTAAACAATTCAATAATTCAAGAGGCATGGTTACGAATTGTTCATAAATAAAATCTATTTGTTGCTTGTATTAGAATATAAAATATTGTTAATAGTCATCTGGTTAAGGTCAATAATTAATATAATTTCTTACTTCAATAATAGGGTCTATAAATGAATGTAACAGTCCAGCTCCATCAATTTTAACCAGGTAAAAGTACAACAAAGTTAATATTTGACCACGCTTATCACGCGGGTTACGCATAATATCGAAGAACGTTGATTCAACTATATAAAATTATATAAATTATCTATATCATTATGATATATAATGATAAGTATTAAAGGAATAACATACTTTTTTCCCAAATCGATTTTGCATGACGTTTGATTAATATTGATTCTACACGCTTAATCAAAGAATCCTTGGTTCTTGGATGTAAGTATGCAGCAATATGGTTCGTTTCAAATTTGATACGTTCTTTAGCATATTGCAAATATTCATATACATTCAACTTTGGAAAATAAATATCACTTTTAATTTCATAATAATTTGATGTAGTAAATTTAAGTGACTTTTCTATTGGTTCATAAAGCGCTAACTTAATATAGATTTGAAGTATTTCGCGCAACGCTTCTCCATTCCTTAATTCACCGTCTCTAGATAAAAATGAAAGTTAGTTGTACAAAAATTAAAAAAAATTTTTTTTTTATAAATATTTATAAATATTTAATTATTCACCGTTGTTTTTCAATCGAGTCTAATATCCCGAAAAGATTTTTCTTATGTATTTCATGACTACACAATACTTGCTTTCGAAATTCGCATAGTCCCAACCTCCTAATAGATAAAATGACAGTCTAAATAATTCATAGATAATAAAAACAAAAATTTCAAATTGTTAACTATACGTACCAGATTGTTTCTTTTCCTAATAATTGAAAGACAGTATCCAAGTATTGAAAATTATGTTTTATTGTTTCCTTAGAGCAATTTATAAGTAAGTCAGTAAGTGAAACACGACAAACAGGCAAAAATGAATCTTATACCATTTTTTCACTAAAATTCATCCAAGACGCAACAAAAATTTCGATAAAGGCATCGTTTTTCTCTGACTTGCTATATTATATAATATATTGTTCTTATTAGGTATGAAATAAATTAGCCTCATTCCTATAATTTTTATATTACCTCATTAAAGTCCGTCTTATAGTGACCGAATATTGGCTATAAAGATTTTTTTAAACGCGAATGGACTTCTATTTGTTGAGATTTTTCGAAACTTTGAAATGCAATCTGGAGTGAGGAAACTGATGCTTGAATAGGCTGACTACAAAAAATATTTCTAAACTCTTTTTCAAAACTCATAATTGCTATCGATGTATTTGTCATGTTTAATTAGGAATGTATTTGTAAATAACTTTTTTCGCGTTTGTATTTGAGTTTCAACCGATTGGCTAATTTTGGGGTGTTGCAACAGGAGGACCGTCCCTAGCTAAATCGTTACCAAAAATTTTTCAAGTAAAAATTTCGTGTTACGTATTAGATTAGTTAGTATTTTGCCATTAGGTTAGGGTTAGAAAGTATTAAATCTTGCAATTAAAATTTTTATTAGTGCGTAGAAGGCAGTTTCATAGGTTAAATTGGGAATATTTCTCTTTACAGAGTTATAACTTTCATCTTAATTTTTTATTTTCAAGTTTCTAGAATTATTATAAAGTATTGTGAGTTTTTTTTTTTTTTTTTTTTTACATTATACAACATGCCATTGATGAGATTTTTTTTATTAGTATATATAGTGAAAAATGATTACATATGTAAGATTACAACTAGTCCACTTGAAGAGCTACTATACCTGAAATTTATTTGAAAATTCTTTATTTAAATTTTCTGGTTTACTACTTCTCTTTATAGAAAATATCAACAGAGTTAATATATATTTACAAACTTTATAATTCAAAGTCTAGACTTATCTCAGGTATCTCTTCACTAACTTCTTAATTGATAGGTATTGTGATACCTAACTATGCTATACTATATTCTAATTTAGTTTGTATATATCTTTATTTGATATTTATACTGTTATAAAATAGGTTTTAGCATTTTTCTTAATTATTGTATTTTCATATTATTTATATATTTAGATTTATTTAATATCATTTTTTTTAATAACTTATTAGCTATAGTTAGATTTAGATTTTACTATTAGATTCAGCTCAATTAAATCTTTCAAATAAGCTATATTTTATATCTGTAAGATATGTAGTTATTGAGTTATTTTAGAAACAACATTAGAATAAATTACTTTTTCTACTTTTTCTACCTTTTCTAAAAAGCTATATAAACCTTTCCTTTTTCTCTTTCTGTAAAATCAGTCTGTATAGTTTTATTTTTTTTATTTTTTTTTTATTTTTTAACAAGCTGTTCGCAAATTTTTATTAAGTATTATTTTCAAATTATATTTGTTAGTGAGGATACAATTGGCTACACATACAACTTTAGTTATTGTCTATTTACAGGTTTTGCCATATAGGTTACTTACTAATTGCTATACCTAGTATCTGCCTGTAGATACTCTATTTAAATCCTCTGGAATCACTATATAACTCTATATTTAACCTAATGTTTTATATCTATACTAATCTTGTGCTATCTCTTCTGAGAACTATACAAACCAACTTGCGTCTCAAATTGTCTTTATAGAACTAGACTCTATCACAGAGATATGACCTATTTATCTTATTCTAGTGAGAGCTTGCAAATGATCTCAACTATGCTATGCTATTTCTCAATTAAGCTAATATATACTCTTATCAGTGTTTATACAAACCTAGTTTCTTCCGTAGCTCTCTACTAGATTGGTCTAGTTTTTCTGAATGTTTCATAAGATAGATCCTTCCAAATTCAGTTAGCTGCCAAGCCAAGTTGGTGTTGCTATTTGTATAATATTACATCATAATTAACTTTTCTGTTATACTATAGACTTACTCACACTTATTCAGTTTGTATACTTTATTCCTAAACTTCTTTCAGATCAAGCATCAAGCTGGCATGACTATAGAAATCTGTACTATATTATCTAACTCAGAATTTCTACTATACAGGTCCTCTGCTCATAGATCTTATCAAGATTTATTTGTGTAATATTATATCACATTTGACTTTTCCATTATGCTTCCAATACCCAATTGATATTGGTATAACATGATTTATAGGGTTACAACTCTCAGAAATAGATAGGGTTTACTGTAAATTGGATACAAAGGTCCAGATAATTATTCAAATTCGTCAACAGTAGGATTTGAACTCTAGACCTCTTACATAGTGGTCTGGTAATCTAACTAATATACTAAGATCGCCAAACCTATAGTTCTATTTTAATAAAACAGTACTCAATAAAGTTCTAAGTTTTCTACTACATCAGCAAAATATATAAACAAAATCTTACGAAAGATATTATACTCTGAAATCTTTTGAAAAAATTATGATTGATATAAAATATTTCAAAAACAATTTTAAATATTTTCAAAATATTTCAAAATAAATATGGAATAAATAATAAATTTTGAAAATATTTTTTTTTAGAAAAGAAAGTTATTTTAGAAAATATTTATAAACTATCAAAAAATTTTGAAAAATATTCACCAACTATCGAAATAATTCATAATATTTCAAAATAATTTGCAATATTTCAAAATAATTTGTAATATTTTTTTTTTTTTTTTTTATAGAATGAGGCCTTGTCTTGGATTTTATTGAGTTTAATAATATAAGGACAATATGATTGTGTTACATTAATTGACTACTATTACCTAAGCTAG